GTATGTATTTACATCGAGTACTTTCACCATAATGACTGAGAATTCTAAACATCTTATAAACAACAGTGCAGAAATATATGCAGGTCATATGTGAGGTTTGCATGCATACTTTTGAAAGAAAGGAAAGTTTAAAGACAGGTAATTCTTTTGGAAGTTAAAAGCAACAAAATAATGAAGGGGACCTTCAAGAAAATGAAAGGAGAAAGTCTGTACTTATTGGTAAATAAACGCAATCATTGACAAAACACTTCAAAAGCATAACAATTATTACAAGCAAAAAAAACACCAAAGGATGGAAATAGATAACTGTTGTATAATAAAAGAAAAAACAGTAGGAACTTTGAAAACTCTCTTAGAGGCTACTAGTTTGAGAGTGTTTTAGGCATCAAGGTATACCAACTGACTGTTCAGACCTCGATAACACAGCTCTACACGAACAGAAATAACCATTAGTCAAACATGTATACACATAGAAAATGCACTACTTTACTAGGAACGAGTATATTGAAATATAAGGCGATGAAGTTGATGTGGTCACCGAGTAGCTTTACCGTGAAGTCTTTTATCTGAAGAGTTAGCATTGTATACGTGTAGAGTGTTCAAGTAGAGAATGAACGCGTTGTCCAGTGTTTATTGCCTTTAATAGTTGTTAGCTCGATGAAAACTCATAGCATACAGCCTATTTTTAACCTATTAATAATTACTATTTATTGATATACTTGTAGTTCTACGTTGTTTTATTGGATCGAATAGTTCGACTTCTATTGGCATGTGGGCTCCTACGCGGATGTCTCAATATTGCGTGAATGTTAATTATGGTAATTTTGCTGGTTGTGTCTAGCAGAGGAATCCAGGGTGCGCATTTCGTCCTACACAGGACTCGTCAACTGGATATACCTGCACCTAATAATAATTAGTAAAACAAATATGAATACGAAATCTTTACGAGTGATTATAATGTAACGCAATTAAACCATGCGATAAAGGTCCATATAATAGATTATGAATCATACTAAGCATATGGTCAAACCGGCTTGTTGAGCTAGACATAGACCTCCCTTGTAATTCAATTACAAGTACCTTAAAAGTTTCAACTATTAGAATCCAGACGTACTAATTGCAGGCATTAAAAGATGATGAAATTTAAGAGTTCCAGCCAAATGGAAATGCGACTTTTTCTTTCAAAGGATAATGTTCGACTGTATTGTTTTATAATTAACAATCCAGACAAACCAGACAAACAAAATCAACCTAGAACCTGGCATACAAGTGGATCGGTCCACGCTTCACAGTGGTATACAAAGAACAAGTGGACAGAAAAGAATTATATCAAAGTAGATACAGGTGTAGGGGAGGAGAGAGGATTTAAAGATTAAGGTTATTCAAAACATTCAAGATTTACAAGACATTAAAGAGTGAATACACTATGACCGATTTTCAGTCTTTCCATCGATAATCGTCGTCAACCACTGATCTCTATCATCTCGGGGATCTCAGTCCAGAAGTCTACTTCTCCATCACATGACTCAGATCAACAGTCAGTGACTTCATCGACTGCTGCCAGATCTTGGTCTGGTCATCCTGAATCATCTTCAAGTCTAATCCAACTTCCATTAATATTGCACGTCGAGGTAGGCAGTGACTCGGCATACGCAGTATATGTCCAAGCAATCTCATTCAACTAAAATTCACAATTTCATCCACTGGCTTGCCTGTCTTGCCTAATACCCTTCGCTCGAACTCAGCATTGCTCACATGGTGATTCCACCAGACGCGAGCAATGTTACAAAGTCATCTGTGATCAAAACCCTACAAGAATGCAATTCCAAGAATGTATACTGTCAGTGAACCACTTAAGATAAACAAAGTAACAACAGAAAAAGCACACACAAAAAAAACGTTTAAACAATCCTGGCCAGCCTCAACATTTAATAACTGTCAAGCTGTTAGACAATGCCTATCAATATAGATCAACTAGAGTTAAAATTTACAACTCTAGTTAGCAGAAAATTAAGCAAAAAGATATTTAGTAAAAAACATCTCACCACAGAACCCTCAGTAGAAATTCAAAATATACAAAACAAGGACAACAGCATCACTACTTTCCTGACTCATCAAAGTCATTATTCTGTATCAAATGTAATATTATGGTTTGCTTGGTGGTGGCTAACAGTGGAATCTAGGACGTGCATTTCGTCCTACATAGGACTCGTCAGCTGGCTGCAATTGCATCCCAGTGAGTGACGTTGTTTCTCCTGAGATTCGAAATCAGCACCCACCGCTTCAAACTTCAGAGAGTTATCCAACAGGCCACAAGTATCAGTTATTATTATTATTTATTGATACTTGCGATTCCCTGTCGTTATTCTGGATCGAATTCATAGACCTCTATTGGCATATAGGCTCCTGTGCAGGTGGCTTAATATTCCCTGATTATCCATTGTGTTGTAATTTGTTCGGTGGTTCTCGTGTCCCAGTTGATAACGCTTCGGTGTTGGGAAAAATGGTTGGTGAGCCCGAGTCCCAACAGGAACAACATTACCCACAAGGGTTCAAGTACACCCAGTCGACGAGTCCTAAATAAGTCGAAACGCACATCCTGAATTCTACTGTTAGACGCCTCTAAGCAAATTACAACATAGTGAGTAGTTAGGCATCATTCAGGAATCCACATAAAAGCCCATATGCCAAAAGAAGTCGATCAATTCGAACCAGAACAACAGCGGGAAATTACAAGTATTAAGAAATAACAAACGTAATGCTTGAATTTGGGGGTTTGTGGGGATTTTTTTTCAAGTTGGCATTGATCACTGACTGACATCAGTTGGAGGAACATTGGAAACCTGGGAGCACTGGACACCTGTTTCGTCCTAGTACGAGACTCCTCTGCAGTGCGCACCTACGACCCCGCCAGGGATCCAACCCGCGACCCTCAGGTTCTGTGACCAGCACGGAACTCATGTCAGTCCACGATGAATACCAACCTGAAAAATGTAATACTGTTGACGACCAGTTTAATATAAATGTCGAACTTTTTGAGTTGAATTACTTTCAGGAACATTTGATAAGTGGATTGATCCAAATGCCTCTGAGCGTTATATAAACGCGCATACCATTTAGAGTCGGATTTATTACTTTAGTACCTTTGAGGTAGCATTCATCACGAACTGACATCAGTTGCAGGAGCATTAGAGACCTGGAAGCACTGGACAGCTGTTTCGTCCTAATATAGGACTCCTCAGCAGTGCGCACTCACGACTGTTAGGGGTCAAACTTAGGACGTTCAGGTTTCACAGTGAACGCGTTAACGATTCAGCTACTAGGTCGAAGCCCATGGTTCACAGTTCCCATCCTCTATCAATTCACAATATAGCGCAACTATCATCCAAGGTCTTCAGTTGGCATCCACTTCTATTCCGACTGGTTGACCCCACAGGTCATGGCTTTTCACTAGATATCTATCTGAAAGTATGTCACTACTGCTGAGGAGTCCCAAACTGGGACTGGTTCTCCAAGTGATGCCAGTCCGTGAGGAACACTACCTTAAAACTAAAATCCCTATTCATCTCAAAAATACATTACTTTAGTAATTACCTCAGTTTGTACATTTAATAACATGAAATTGGTTACTCTCAAGGGACCTATAAATTTACCTCACCCAATCTTACAGAAGGTCAATAGCAACCCAAATAGTGGTAATGCCTCTGACTACATTACTGGGTGACGGAGGTTCGAATCTCAGGCAAGGCATCAGTTCCGTCGAGGTTGCAGATACACCTTGGTGATGAGTGCCAAAAAGCATGAGAACTAATTCCAAAGCTTTTTGCCGATTATCCCCACCCAATTGAAACAAGACAATAAAACAGTTCTTTAAAAAACCGGATACAAGACACTTATTTTTGGTCAACTAAAAACGCGCGATACAGTTATGACAAAGAATGTTTTAAAGGCGCATAACTTACGTGAAGTAGGCAATGCAAGAATATTCATTCTTATGCCAGATTTCAGTTATGCATAGAATGTCATAGTTTAACAGACATTCTTTTTTGTGCTTCCTCACTGTACTTCTGGACAACATTTTAAACTTTACCCAATACAAGACGCATGCAAAAAAATGTTTAAACTGTCATAAATAACACTACTATCCTCCAAAAAAGTTCAACTAAACTTAGTGAACAATTGCAGCTCTATACACTGGACAATAAGCCGCACCTATTTTTTGCAGGCTAGTGATCCAAATAATCAGTATATGGAGAAGTTTTGGAACTTATAACTCATTGGTTCAAAGCTAACTATTGCTTAGACTGATAAACCACAGCTTCACAACCTGAGTAGAACTCCTGTGTATGTCTTCCTTACAAGAATATACCATACACATTTGAGTCTAACCCACTCTAATGATGTTCAAAACCGATGCACCTTAGTAGTCTATTCTCATTTCAAGGCTATATGACGCAAAAAATAACTTCCAGTCGAAATTACAAGTTCTTAAAAATATTTTGTCAAGACATATAACTTCTTGTCCAAGATGATGAACACGAAGTATGTTTTAAGTCAACGGACTTCGATCTCTGTATTACCAAAGTTGATATACTTCACCATCTTTTAGACATGTAATAAGTGGTGCCCACTAAAAATCAGGTATTTCGTGTAAAAGATTGTATGTTACCTGATAGTTATTTCGTCGAACAATATGAAAAAAGTCTCGAAAACATTTTACTCGTATTCTCAATGACTTCAGTGTTTCAACAATTCAACCCAAGATTTGCTGTGCATTAGTGAAGTATCAAAACTGTTAGGAAATATAAATTTCGCGTTTAACTAAGGAATGAGTCTAAAAAAAACCTCACTACAGATAAGAGATAAGAAATACTGCTAATTCTACTAATACTACCACTTATAATAATAGTAATAACAACAATAGTAACCTAAGATCGAATGTAAATGCATGATTCCAAAATATTTACAATATATAACATATTCGAAGGAATCGTATTTACCTGGATCAGAAGAATTCGCTAGTGATTGAATTTTCCCATCAATTTTGTTCCCCATAACTACACGACTCCAGTGATAAGGATTTAAACAAATCTTAGATTTCGTTTCATTTTGTGTAGAGTGACATGGTCCAACTCGTCTATGTAGATTTAAAACAAAAAATCAACCAGAATTAATTAAGTTATATATATATATATATATATATATATATATATATATATATATATATATATATATATATACATCCTTGTAAACTTAGTCAAAGGGACATTTATATCTTGAGTGCTAATTTTACCACCTGCTTCGATAGGTTCAAAGTGGTTTGAACTAGTGAACTATTGAGTTTGGAGGTTTGTGCGGATTCACTTATTGATTTCAGGTTGGTAGTCAACATGGACTGATATTAGTTAGGGAAACAATGGAAACCTGCTTCGTCCTAGTGTGGGACTCCTCAACAGTGTGTACCTATGACCCCACGAGGGATCGAACCCGAAACCTTTAGGTTCCACGGCCAGCATGTTATCATTTAATCACTGTCCTTATGTTCGACTATGAGAATCAACCTAAAATCAGTGAACTATTGATCAAATGTTTACTTCTTAAACCAAGTCACATCTTTCTATCTATAAAAAATAAAATGCTGTTTAATAAACAGTACTTCTTAAGCTGCAAGTGATATTCCAACCTGAAACACCTTGAAATATACCATTGAATATATGTATTTTTGTTCATCTGGCTTCGTCTACAATGATATAAGCAATACGCTTTTAAAACTTCCCCACATTTAAGGGTACGAACTAAAATAGATAATTTGAACTAGTTGAATTTAGAGGTTTGTAGGATGGTGGGTATGCATTGCTGAGGAATCCCACACTACGACGAAACAGCTGTACAGTGCTCTCAGGTTTCCAATTTTTCCCCAACTGATGTCAGTCTATGATGAATCCCAACCTGAAACTTGGATTAGTATTGCTAATCTGATAAATTATAGCGAAAAGAGTAAAATCCTTTCACAGTAGTTCACTACAGTTTAGTAAAGTAGTTGTAGACTGTGTATTGTCCGATAATGATATTTTGAAAACAATAAACTCCTTAAACGAATGAATATACAAACATCAACATAAAAAGATAGCATAAAGGGTACATCGCTTTAATTTGCCACATTTCATAACAACACAGAAAAATTAGGGTCAGAAAACAATGATATTGAAGTAAATAAAGTGTAAGAGGGGAAAGAGGAGATAAATAGATAAAAGTTAGGAAAAGAATTTCAGAAAGTTAAAAGTATTGGATAAATTAGCTTTACAGTGAACAACATTAAGCTAAATAAGCAGAATTCCATACTAGATTTGTTCATTGGATATATACAGTATTATTTACTTGATGACATTTCAAGCATAACTTATCATTGCTCATAATCATATCAATGTGAATTGCCTTTATCAGATGTATAGTTATGAGCAGCAGTAAGTAATTCATGCTCGAAACGCTATCAAATAAATAATACTGTAGCACTGTGTGTACTATATAACAAATAAACAAATCTAACATGGTATTACATTCTAACAAGTTTTACACTTATATTAATGAAACGTATGATTTTCCTATTCGAAGGCTAGTCAACAAACTCACACAACTTTCACAAACTTAAGCACATTTCAAAAATCATCGCATTTTTAATATTCACTGTATGAAAAATCAAATTATCCTTCAATATCTTCGTCTATATATTCCAATATCTACTGATAAAGTCGTAAGAGCAATAGAACATATCCCCAGACTGTCTCAAAGAAGAAATTCACAGGATTATTACAAAGTTAAGCACCATCCGGAATAAAATTGAACGGCTGAAATGTAAACTTGTGAAAATATTAAATAGCAGAGATTGTGAACTTCTAACAGAAAAATCAGGTGAAGCAAGATTAGTTGCTTTCCAGAAATCCAGAAACAATCAAATCAAAACGTTTCATAAATTAATGCAAAAAAAATATCCTTCGGAAAATAATGAGATTACAAATGAAATATCATCAAACATCGATAGAACAAAGTGAGTAGTCAATCTCTCGTCGAAAGCCTTAAGCTCAGCTGGAATGAAAGTACTTGAAAAAGGACTAAACTTCAACGTGACAGTAGGTCACCTAAAAACCGAAGATGTCATACCTAACATAGAAGTGACATTGAACTCGGAAGATGTGGCAAGTACTGAACAGGTTAGAGCACAGTGTACTTTAACACTGAAAAAAAAGAAGACACAGCGAAACATGACGAAACTGGAAAAATCAGCTTTAAGTAATCTAAAAAGTGACAATTACATAGCAATTGCTAAATCTGATAAAGGTAATTCACACTGATATGATTATGAGCTATAGTTTATGCTCGAAACGCGATCAAGTAAATAATACTGTAGCACTGTGTGCTATATAACAAATAAACAAATCTAATATGGAATTAAATCCTACCAGTGTCCAAGTTTCACACTTATGAACTAGCAAAAGCTGTCAACTGTTGATTCCTGACATCTCTAGGACACCAGCCAGCACACACTTATCTGCCTACACGGTGAAGAATGATAGTTAACGGCTCAAAGGGCCGACACGAAGATATAGATGCAGAACAGATGCATTACACTTAGATAAAATGAAAATGAATTAGTATGATCGACCTATACGAAAGGATATTGATGGGCTGGAAAAATCTCAATGCAATAATAGGCGACGAAATGCTAAGCAAGTAGATTGACAAAAAAATGTATTCCACCTTGGAAAAACGTAAATGAAAGTATCTATGCCACAGACATTTTCAGAAAAGTGGCTAGCAACATCTAATCACTGATTCCCGAGTCTGCAAGATCATTAATAGCAATGCTACTACAAACTAAGTTGTTTGTTGGATATTTTGCAGTTACAACCTCCATAGTTAACTTCTTCATCTACAAGTCGCTAATCTATTCTAGTACTTGCACATCCAATGGTTTCATCATGCTTTTTAGATGCCTTGAGTGTGCTGGTTTTAAAATGGATGTTTCATCTGTGTACTAACGCCACCTTAGACCTTATATTTACTTCATATCACAAACTGTACTGCTGATGAGTGAATATCTGAACAATAAATGATCTAATCTGTCAGATAAAGTGGTTCCAAAAGAAACCTCTTTATTGATACTGGGTGACGATTGACGATGAAATGAAAGTTTGGGATGCGACATGGTTCGAACCACTAGCCAATAGGTTTTCTTCAATCATCACCCCATATCAAAACAACTCCGCCAAACCACGGTTATCTCACTCAGATAGTCAAAATGATAACTATTCTTTATTATTCAATCTGTTTACGTTTCAAAAGCTAACCGACTACAGTAACATTCGATTTTCAAAGATTAAGAATGCAATTCATTTACTCGCAACTCCACAACAGTCACGAATGCAATGGACAAAACGAACTAATCGAATATACATACATATACCTAATATTTATCTCATTGCAAGAACAAATTACACCACAATAGATAAATTAGATGATGCGAAAATTCGGTAAGACGCCATCATGGATAGATAATAAACAAGTAGAGAGAGAAAAGCGATTACCACTAGAAGTAGAACATTAATCATAGAATGATCATAATGCAAACACTCGTCTGCTTATGGGTTATTCGCCTTTAATTTTAATAGTGATTAGGTTATAAATTATTATTCAGTACAAGGAAATATAGTAATCTTATTTCACACATGTATATGAATACATATACTTAGTGTATGCACACCTTCTATATAGACATTCGACTCCATAATAATGAAAATTATTTAGTTTTTAGATTAGAACGTATGAGAGCTTTTCGTAGGCGCCAGTGTTGCGCATACGACATCAAAAAATAATCTATATGAAAGCAAACGAAAATTAGAGATGCAAGGGTGGTGAGAGTTGAAGTTCAAATTCAGCCTGGATAAAAGTAAGCACAGGATTTCGTCGCCTATCTCTTCATCTGAAATGTCTACTTTTCTGGAAAGATGATAACTCTCTTCTCTCTTATCTGATATTCGAGGGATTGAACATGATGAAGTAAGACTTATCAGTGTTACATATGTGAACGATAAACACTCAACATTAGTGCAGATGAACTGGTGATATAAAACAAGCTAATTCACAGTCTTTTAAGTTAACTTATAAGTATCACTTTTATTATATGAAAGAAAGGAAAGTTGTAGACTGGCGATCTGAATACTCAGCTAAGAAGTACTAACTGTTTAATTTGGTTTACTGGTTGTGTTAGCCATTACACAACAACGGCAGCTCAAATTCCAGAAAAACACATATAAGGGGTTTGAAGATGTCATTTGTTTGTTCTTTTCTCTGTGAATCTGTACAAGGCGGATAAATAAACTAAATATTTATACATCGTACGTACATCAGCTTAGTAAATTGCATAAGATTAATTTCATCAAGAAACTGTTATGCTTCCTTTAAGTGTCGCCTTTAGTACACATGTATGTAATTAGGAAAGAGTTTTGTCAACAGTAGGGAGAAAATATGAAATACTCAGACGCAATATAAAGTAATTTAGTCACAGATACTACCTTCTTGAAAAGAAATGCAAAAATTATATTTCGTCATCTCCTTTTTTTGAGAAAAAATGTCTTATGATTTATGTTTTATTGGCAAACGTATTTACATTTCAATGTACAACTTTGTGTGTATAAAAAAAGAAGTCAGGAAAGCAGGTATGCTTAGACTCCTTTTATCTCTTTATAACTGCATACAGACACATGCAGGTTTACATGGAGCCAGATGATAGAACACCTACAGGATAGGTAGTGTATACTTTAAAAAAATTGATAAATGCCGCCAAAAACTACTGTATTTCATGCTATTATTATAATCATAAACATAAAACCGATATGGATTTATGAATGACCAGTTAGTTTCAAGCTAATATTTTTATCTGTCTTTAGACTCTCAAAAAAAATCTAAAAGACTGAATACAAATATATAATTCTTGAGATCACTTTGTCTCACATACAGAATCATGGCACCTATACAAACTTAAAACTTTATGACTTCAAAATAAGACGAAGAGTGAAAAAAACCTAAGGAAAAAATGAATATGACATGGATACTACACAGATTCACATGCTCAGTTTAGTC